GTCTCTTAACCACTACAGCCAGGACACGGTGTTCAAAAGTGGAACCATACCGATATCCACCCCACCCTTGCAAGGCTGTGGTGTCCAACGCAACCCGCACCACACAGTGTCACACACAACACCACACTCAGACACATCTCTCACTCACTCCGCCCCGCTGCACAGGACCCCTTCCATCGGTACTAAGCCCGAACACTAAGCCCGAACACCAATGCGGGGTATTCGTCCCCCGAACACCAATACGGGGTATTCTTCGCTGTCGGTTAACGGGTGCTTCCACAGTCTGGTGAATAGATCCGCACTAGCAGGCCAAAGCCCTCCTCCGTGCGGATTCGAACAGGCGAACCAGGACAGGGTATTGAAAAGTGGAACCATACCGATTGTCATATCCACCCCACCTCTGCAAGGGTCATATCCACCCCACCTCTGCAAGGTTGTAGGGCCTCTTTCGACACCACTAGAGAACCGTAGAGTCTCAAGTGCGCCCTAACCCGAAAATAGTGATAAAAAAATACTTACTGCAATGTTCGGTCCATGTGCACTTGACAAAATACTTGAAACAGAGTCACGGCAGGGCGGTTGAGGGCCTCGTTGGGCCATCCCTGATGGGTGCGTGGTTTGGAAAAACGTCTGGGCCTGCGGCGGTGCTCGGGACAATCGCAGCCCAGCGGGTCCGTGCCATCATTTGCAAATTCGAATATCGGCATCTCGTGTTTCGGCGGTGACACACGACGGAGGGGGTGGGTTGTGCAGGCAGTGAGGCTGAATCCATGCATGCGAGCACAAGTACGAGGTGCCTGTGTCGTCCCCTGTACGTCGTACGGGGGGTCTCCGTACGGCCCGTGCGTACGTACGGACGGACAGCCGTACGGACGACGGCCGTACGACGGTGATTTGGGGGCCAAAAAAAAAACAAAAAAAGAAAAAAAAGAAAAGGGGGTTGTAGATCTTGAAAAGATCTACATCTGTCACAGTCTGGTTGGCAGCACACAAAGAGTGTGACAGAGTCTATGCGCCCCTACCGGACAGACTCTGTCACAGGCTGTGTGCTGCCCACCAGACTGTGACAGACTGTCGGTCACACAGACTGTAACAGACTGTCTGTCACACAGACTGCAACAGACTCGGTGTGAGCTGGCCCCCAGACAGTGTTCTCGAAATGTGCAAACGGAGAGTGAATCTTCATCTAGAACATGGAAAGATACACCGCCATGGTTTTACATTGTCTTTTGTGCATGTGGAGAATAGTGGAGTGCCTGCCTTATTCTCCTTTGCTTTTTTTTTTTTTTTTTCAAAGGCGAAGGCCTTGAGATATCATCATTGAACTGACCGCCCCCTGGCAATTCAGAATCACTGTAATCTGGTCATCTGATCGTATCTGGATTCTACCTTGGTCATTTCTTAACACAAATGGGCTGGATCTCTATTTCAACAGCTCATGGGTCAAGAGGTTTGAGGACTACACCGTCGGAGGGGACAAGAAGCTGCCGGAGGAGCTTCTTGCAGCCGGCCCTCAGCTGTGAGGGCACTGAGGGGATTGAAGGACCTGCTTGAACACCATCGGGCGGGCGGATTTTGTCTTGTATATGCTGTTAGATGGTTGTTTTTTTTTTTTTTTTTTTTTTTTAACATTGAGCATCTTTATTATCAACGTCACAATCCGGGCCGGGGACCCACAAATCAACCCGGAAATGATCCAGTTCCTGATGGTACCACTCTCTTGAATTTTAAGCTACAGTGTGAGGACTTCAACACTAGGAACAGGTCGGTTGTTGGTTTGTTCAACGAGCTGCAGCTCAATAAAGAAGGCAGAAGATTACGGCCAGATCCCACTAGCCCCGATTGTTCATTTCTGACCATTGATCTTCGTAATCGAGGGTGAAAAATGAATAATCCAGGGTAGTGGGATCCAACCCTTAGGGTCTCGTTAGACACTCCTAAAAGAATCCTAAAATTTTTAGGACGAGTCCTAAAGGATTTTTAGGATTTCGTGCGGCGCCGTTACATGCAGTCCTAAAAATCGTCTTTTAGGATTCGTCCTAAAAGGTCTCCCGCGGCCCGTTCTCATATTCGTATACGCAGCCGCGTCGCCGATGTCCGCCAGGTCCTGGATGGTGTCCGTGGTACACACTGCGGAGGCCTTGGGCGGCCGAGGAGGGGTGGGTGAAAAGCGCGGTCACCCCGAACTTCAAAAATTCAATTTCGAATTTTCGCAGACGCAAGGCGGCAGGGGCGGAGGACGGCCGGGCGACGCGTCTGACGTACAAAAGACAGCGCTGGCGAAGCGTTCGGCGCGGGTATCCATCTTCCGACTCCATGCGAGTTGTGAGCAGCGGGGGCAACTTCCGGCAAGGAGCATCGTCGCCACCATCGCTGTGTGCTGTCTTGTGGACTCCGACGCACGCCATCTTCTGTTGCAGCGTACGTCAGCGGGCGCATCTACGGGTCCGGCGTGCGTGTCTCTCTTCACTTGGTTCAGCAGCGGGCGTGTCTTCGGCGTTTGTGGCAGGCGTCACGCTCTTCGGGGAGGAAGATTCCCAGAAATGGATCTTCGTGTCAACGGGCACGGTCTGCACGAAGAGGAGATCGACGTGGTCGCGATGGCGGTTACTGCCGTTGTCGTGAACACGATGGGCGGCATGTCGTCGTCCTCAAGCGACATGCTGACACAGCTCCGAAAACGAACAGCGCTGTTGCAGCGCATTGCCGAAGCGCCGGATTGCGTGGCCACGTGTGAGGCAGTCGTCGAGTTGTGCGCCGCGCTGTCATCTGGCGTTTTCCCGCGGCGGACCCCGCGTTGGTGGATCAAACGACGGACTGGCGGGACATGGGAGGATCTCCGCCTCTGTGATGACGTGACGGACGAGTATTACTGGCAGAAGTTGCGCATGTCGTTGGCCATGTTCAGGCAGATCGTTGCCGCGTGCGCCACGTACGTGGAGAAGAAGGTGACACACTACAGGATGCCTTTGCCAGTGGAGCAAGTGATCGCTTTCGCGTTGTACAGGTGGGCGTCAGGAGAGACGTACGAGAGCGGCACTTCGTCCTTCGGCATCGGCAGGGCAACAGGGCTGCAGGCCGTCCGCGACGTCACTTCGGCGCTGCTGCAGGCGTACCCCGACGCTATCAAGTGGCCAGTTGGCTGTAGACGTGCGCAGATTCTGCGCGCATTCCGTGACAAGGGTTTCCCGAACTGCTTCGGCGCGATCGACTGTACACACATCTACATTGACATGCCCGCCGGCGCACCTTCCAACAACTACTACGACCGCAAACAGAAGTTCTCCGTGCAGGCGCAGGTGGTGGTGGATTTGGATCTGCGGATCTTCGACGTCCACATCGGATACCAGGGAAGCGTGCACGATGTGCGCGTCCTGCACAATTCCCAGCTGTGGAGGCGTGCAGAAGCTGGCGAGCTGTTCGACGCACCTCCGGAGAATCTGCCGCACAATGTCGTCACGCGAGGTTACCTGCTAAGCGACAACGGTTATCCAGTTGCCTGTCCATGGATTGTGCAGCGGTACGGACGAATCGACCAACATCCTGACGAGGAGCGCTTCGACACGAGGCAGAAGGTGGCGCGGGGGTGTGTGGAGAGGGCATTTGGGCGACTGAAGTGCATGTGGCGTCTGTTTTTGCGCATCCACAAGACGAACCTGGAGACCTTGCCATAACAATTCATGGCAGTGTGCACTCTCCACAACATCCTCCTCGACGCGAGGATCGACTTCGATGAGAACCTTTTGTGGGAGGTGGATGAGAACGGCATTCGTCGTAGAGTAGACTTGGGGATTGTGGGGAACGGTGCGGGCGGGCAGCGAGAGAGCACGAATGTGGACGGGGACTTGTTGCAGGATGCACTTCGAGACCGCCTAGCTCTGATGTAGGACCGTGTGCACGGGAGGTGGAGGGGGGGGGGGGGGGGGGGGGGGGGCGGGAGGGGGTTTGGGTAGGGGTTGATAGCATGTGGGTTGGTGCGATCGGCAGGCTGGAGGAATTGGCACGTGGCCGCGTCCATTGGCAACACTGCGCGAAGTAGCTGGGTCGATTGTATGACGTCATGGTTGTCGTGTGTGACTTCCTTTCTTGTTTTCGTCGTTTGGACGGTTGCGTGGTTCGTACAGCTGTACGAACGTTTCATATTGGAAGAAACTTTTTTTGTGTATCTCTCTCGGTTTTGGTTTTCTTTTTTTTTTTTACATTTTTTTGTTTTATTTTATTTTTATACTTTTTTTTTTTTCGGTGACTGTGTCTTCAAATTGCATGTCTCGAATGTTTCGGTTTGGTGAGAAGTTTTCTTCTTTTTTTTTCTGCATCCTCAACTCCTTTTTCATTTGTTTTTGTGTGCCTCTTGAAATCTTCAGTCGCGCATGTTTTCGTTCGCTGCTCTGGCGGGACGACAGACAGACGTGTTTTGCAATTGTTGATGCAAGCTGCTTAACATTAGTAAACTGTGTAACACAAAAAACATACATAGATGAACATGGATTGCGTGCATGCATAGGCGTCGATCATCTGCAATCGTCTTGCAATCATTCGACAAAACTTGACAGAAGACACGAGAGCAACGGACACATCACATAAAAAAAGAGTGCGCTAAAAGCGCTATGAACTTCTCGCGCAGCGAACTGCGAATATAAGTACACAATACACGACGATATTGAATGATCTCGTCGTCGACTCCAACGACCGACACACTGCACACCTGTACCCCGACGCACCACAAACCATTCAAACCTATCAACCCGAATTCGTGTCAGAGGCGACGCGCAAAACAAGTGCGCAACCGACGACGATCTTGCGGAATCCCTCTCTCCGACACACTAAACAGGTGCGCACTTTGCTTCGGTGCAACCCCATCCTTCCGCATGACGACCATCCACTACAACATGCGCGCGAGTCCACAGAAGCAGCCAAACCTCCGCTCCCATCCCATCCGTCTTCCTCCCTACCCAAACATCAGCCCCAACCTCCCGCCCCCTACGCGTCATCTTTCCCGTCGTCGTTGTTGTCATATATCAGGGGGGCCCGAACCCTACCAATCTAGCTTCTTTGCATCCTCCGGCCCCGTTATCCTCGCGTCGTGCCTGAAAGCAATGCCGCAGGGCGCCCATTGAGGTATGTAGTTGGGGTAATGTCCGAACGTAGCGGTCGCCTTCCCTAGCCTGTTTGTGACGACTTTCGCGGCGTGGACGACGGATCGTCGATGATTGAAGGAGCGATGCATGGTCGCGACGAGTGTGGGCTTCGCCACGAGGTCCGCGAAGTAGAAAGCCTCGTAGTGGCTGCGCGGATCGTCTTCTTCCATGCGCATTATCCACATGCACGCCGCCAACAACAGCCTGAAGCAATCAGCCACCCGAGAAAGACGATCGTGCGAGATGAACTCGCCGTCGATGAGCGCCCCCATTTGCACGGCCGCGCGGAATGCATACGCGACGCAGATGACGGTGGACTCCTGGTGCGCCGTCATGTCGTCGTCCTCTGGTCTGTCCTCGATGTTGGCGCCGGCGAACCAAAGCGGTAGGTCCATGGACAGATCTATCGTGTGCGTGCAAATCGTCGGACTGACAACCTCGCACCACTCCTCGCCGTACCACATGGCACGCGCAATGTCCGTCGCAAAGGATTCCAGCGAGTATTGGAAAGCCACATGGTATCCCCTTGGCCGATTTCCGGACTTGAATACCCATCCGTGCAAGATGCGCAGAGCAACGTTCTCCACTGTTGCCGCAGGGGAGATCGCTTGCTGCAGCTGCGATTGGTCGACGATCCTGGCCACGCGCGTGCTGGCTTTGGGCAAAACGACGCTCCGAGGGACGTCAGGCGCTAGAAGTCCGCTGGCGATGGCGACGAAGTAGTCTTTCGTTTCGTGGACGATGTTGTATAGTCTTCGCCCCTCCCCGTCGTCCAGAAAGCTTTGTCATCGACCCAAAGGACGACACGATCAATGAGGTCTTTCGTCATGATACTCCTTCGTGGCCGGCTTGAACCGGCCTCGCGTGCCTCCCGCTCGACTTTCCTCTCGCCACGCGCCTCCTCTCTCGCCGTCGCCACAACTGCTGCGTCCTCCCTCCCAGTCGCTACGGCGCCCACATTGCCTGAACCAACCGCCCCCACGGCACCTGCCACCTGGGCGCCAACTTCGTGCGCGTCTGCCACGACTTCCCCCCCGCCACCACGTTGAACGGACCCTCCATCACCAGCGTCGTTGCGATGACGTGGCTGAGACGGCGTGGCGGGCAGCCTGTTCGTGACTGTCCTTTCGTTTGTAGCAACCCGCACGACCACCTCCGGCAGTGGGGTCGCCGTCGTACGAATGCGAATGCAGCGTCTCTCCAAGGGCTCGTCATCATCGCCGCCAAGATCGACGACGAGAGCCTTCTCTGTCCGTGTTTCACGGCCACGCAGTTGCTGCGCCTCGTGTGGAGGGGTCTGCATCCTCTTCGAAGCGATGCGATCAAAAGAGAGTTGCCGATCGCTCTCGCGTACTTCAGACGTTGTCGCCTCCGCCTGCTCCTCCTCCACCGTGAACTCATCATCACAGTCCCCTTCCGCTTCCCCTGCCCAACCTTGCGCTCCACGACCACGCACCCTTGGCAACGCATCTTCCGTACGCACCCTCTTCGCTTTCCGGGCCTGCCGCCGTGCTCTTCCCTGCTCTTGGCTATCGTCGAGGACCACGTCGTGCTTCTTCCCACGGGTGTTCCCTCGCGTAGACATGTTTCGTGGCGACCTTTGAAGGCGAGCTTGGCAGTGTGATCGGACGAGCGGGAAGTGTGGCCGACCTGGCGAAAAATATGTCTCCCGTGCGGCTGTGGCGTGACGACAACGACGTGCACGTGGCAGACAGATGATCTGTCCTCTGCGGGAGAAAGACGTGACGACGACGGACATCCACGTGACGCAGTAGATCTCTCCTCTGCGGGACGAAGATGACGACGTGCACGTGGCACACAGGAGATCTGTCCTCCGCAGGAAGAAGACGTGACGACACCCCTGCGACGCAGGAGATCAGTCCTCCGCGGGAAGAAGACGACGACGTGCACGTGGTTCACAGAAGGACGAAGGCCACGGCAAGAGTAATCCGCGTTGAGAAGACTGGCGGCGAGAAGAATACAAGAGCGACGATCACAATGATCCGCGGCGACCAGGCTTGCAGCACCTTGTCGTTGTTGCGGGCGGTTTGCGGCAGGCGCGGCGGGCTGCTGTACTGGAGACACCTTCGCGGCGTGGACGACATACAAACGGGTTGGGATGCGCAGGACTTAAGTAGTCAGACCTCCCGCGACGTTGCTTCTTTCTGGCGGGAAATGACATCGTCGACGGTGGCACGTCCGACCGCCCTGCCC